ATATAATATAATATCATATCATATCATATCATATCATATAATATAATATACTATAATATAATATAATATAATATAATATAATATATATTTTTTTATTTATATGCTCATTGATTTATGAATCTATTTACAACTATCTATACATACACGCGGAGAAACATGACAGCATGGCTACTGGGCCCAGACCATACCACCTCAAGAAGCCGCCTTTGTACAGGAGACCAAGAAAGAGGAACCAGGTGGACGACGTAAGTGAGGTAAGCATAAGCCTCTCAAAAGAGCTTCGGAGGGGCGGGGCTGCGAATGATAAGGGCCCCACCCCCTGCCAACTGCACGTCTCAGAACCTCACGTACACAACACCGAAAAAAACCCTAGACCCCAAGTACGACACCATATACACCCGAAGGCCCTGAACCCTGTGTACGGCGACCCCTACAAGATAAGCCTCAAATCTTCAGCAATGCACCAAACAGCAGTCGCAGCGCACCGAACCCATGAGCACTTGACCCTAAAACCCTCAATTTGGTTACGAACACGAAACTCTAGAACCGTCTCCAAAGCCCTATATAAACCTTAAAGCCGAAATATCCTCCTGAACCTCAAGCCCCGTTTCAAACCCTATTATAATTTAGTATGGTTCCCGAACCTTTTACTTTGCCACTAGCAGATCGGAAGTCCGAAGCGCATCGACGGGAAATATGTCCGGCTCTGCACCAGTGAAAAGGACCTGCTGAGTGTTTAGGGGTTTAGGGTTTAGGGTTTAGGGTTTAGGGTTTAGGGTTTAGGGAAAAAACAGACCATTGCAGTTCAGGGGTTGGGGTGTTGAGTTTGCGGATGTAAATCGGTATAGTGTTTGGGATGTCCTTTGGGTTGAGGGCTTCTGCTTTTCGTTGGGTGCGGGTTTTGGGGCATTAGGGTTGAGGTGTCAGGCGTTCTCCTCGTTGAGGGTTGAAGTGTATCAGGGCCAGGGTTACGGTTTAGGATTTGGGCTAAACCATAAAACCCGAAAAAGCCCTGAAATAACGGCTTGGTTGAAGGGCACGGGGGTTTAGTTGCAAGGTTCGGGGCAGTCGGGTTTCGGCTTTGGAATTTAGGGCATAGCAGATGCACCGCCAAAACTATAAACCCTCAACTACGTTGCCTTAATGGGTTTTGAGATTGACTACACTGTAAATGCTGTACCAGGGACGAGGGAATACCATGACGGACCACTCAAAACTCTATATAAAACTATTAACAAATACTTTGGAGCTCTAGCAAATTTTGCACAAAAACATTCAAGTTAGGGTCGAGTTGGCAACAACAGCACACTCCTGAAGCCTCAACCCCGAACTCCACGACCCCAAGACCCCAAACCCTAAAACAACCAAAACCCCAAACCCTACAACCCTAAACCCTTAACCCTAAAACCCTCAAGCCTTAACCGCAAACCCTTAACCGTAAAACCCTAAAGCCTTAACCCTGAGCCCTGAAGCCTCAGTCCTAAAACCCTAAACTCTAAACCCCTAAACCCTTAGTTAACCCTAAACCCTAAAAACCCTATTAACCCCGAAACCCCTAAACCCGAAAACCCGAAACCCGCTGCACCTCGAACACTGGCCCAAGGTTCTTCATGTCCGTGACGGTGATGTTGTCTTGCAAAGAGCACAGTGCAACGGCCTGACGAAGTGGGGCTTTACCTGGACCCTAAGTAACCTACCTTTTCAAGGACTTATATAAGGAAACCATCATAAGGTACCCTAAAAAAGTAGGTTCTTTAGGGTCCAGGTAGGGGTCTAGAGTTGTAGGCTTAGGAGTTTAGGGTTTTTGCCGCTTTAGTTGTTTAGGGTTTCAGGGTTTAGGATCTAGGGCTGGGGTTTCAGGGTTTAGGGTCTAGGGGTTCATGTCAGAGGCATGGGCTTCAAGGGTTTAGGGTTTAGGGTTTCGGGTTTAGGGTGTTGCGAATGCAGCCGTGTTCGACGTGTGCCATGCATGTATACTTTTGCTATGGTGCTTTACAAACCACGGTGCTGCTTCTGGCGAAGCAGTAGGACTTTTGAAGTTAGTAGGCCCTATAACCCTAAGAAGTAGGGCAGTAGGATCGTGACTAGGAGGACCCCTACATAAGGTATCTCGACTCGAAGTTTTGAGCCCCCCCCCCCCACACCTCCGCCCCGAATGACAAGGTTAGAATTACTGAAGATGCGAAACGTACTGTTCGAAGATAGATCTATTAGATCTCGTCCTAAACCCTACACGGCCACCCTAAGCCCTAAACCCGAAACCGTCAATATAAGAGCACAGCTATCAAGTTTCTTAGGGATCAGGGTTGAGGCTACTTGCCGGGTCTAGGGAAACCGCCAATCCGTAAACCCAAATGCCTCGAACCCGCTAGACGAAGACCCAAAAAGCAGAACACCTGGAAACTAAACCCTCAACCCCTTCATTAAAGCCCCAAAACAATCTCGCGCCTTACGGCTTACGATTAACGTTCTTTAGGGGCTTGGGGATTTTAGGGTTCAGGTTTAGAGTTTAGGGCTTTGTCTTTAGCAACCCTGAACCCTAAAAAAAGGCTAGTGCCTTACCGTAAACTGATGGGTGGTTGGAGCGACTGGAGGTCCCTCCATATGGGGCGCCGGCTCTGGCACCCAAGCAGAGGGCTAAGCGGTGCATCGTGTCCTGCAGCTGTTTGGGTTTATTACAGCTGCATGTCTTGGAGCAGAGTGCTCTCAAGTGCAAGGTTTCGGCTTTTTGTTTGCTCTTTTGCTGGAAATATTGCCAGTCTTGCGCGTGGCTATCGGCTCGATCTTAGTAGCAAAAGGGCCGCGTCCCAAGAATGCTACATGTCGGTTGCGACGTATACTGGTGCGATTGTCACTATCTTCTGCTTCTTTCAACCTCAAGGGGTTTGGAAGGGGCTGTACTCGTTTCGTCATTTCATTCCGACTATAACGTTTGCCGGTCCCTGTACCCAAATGGTCGATACGTTGGTCGCAAAGTACTGAAATAGAGGCTACGCCAATTAAAGTATCTTCTACATGACTATATGCGTACATGGACCCGCCTTTAGGGGCAGTCCTTAAAGAAGTGCAGGCCACACTGACACAGGCTTCAGAATGCACAGTCTTCCTTGACGATGCCTACGGAACCCATATGGGAGTTTGATGCCACAGATGGGGAACCAAACGTCTCCCGAGACGTATTCTTAACATTCGTATAACCTTATTGCTCTGATTATTCTTATTATTCTATTTTGGTATATTGCTACATGGCTAGATTATGCTGTCTTCGTAGTCGTAGTCGTCGTTTTCGTCGTAGTAGTAGTAGT